AGAAAATTTTTCACCCAATACCATCATACTCTTTCCTTCAATCTCAGTTCATCTGCCATCAAGAGTACAGTCATTGCAAGTGACTGAAATTTTCAGGGATGGTGTCCCAAGTTCCCATCCAGCCACCTTACCAATGTCTTCTGACAAGTCCTATGGAATCCAAAATCTGTTCTTCTCAAATATCCATACTTTATCATAAAAAATATCTGCACTTTTTCCCCTTTGTCCTCTTATTCTAAGCAGCACCTGCAGGTACACTGAACACATAATGTTCCCTTCAGTCATTCAAATGTAAGCTGTTGTTTTTTCTCCAACTATCTCAGAATATAGATAAGTTTCATATATTACATAACATTCTTTCTCCCCCATTTTTCTACTTAAAAACTTTTTTTAACCTCTCACCTCCTTCATAAAACTCAGGTCTCTTAAAACATGTCTGTTTTCAAAGAACATCTCTTTGACCAACGCTTTTGGTATCATTTTTGGTTCCATCAATACCCATGCCAGTGATAAACTAAAAATAGTCGTAATTCTTGGTTTTCTTAGCTTAAATAATTTTCCTCAATATAATTACAATCACCAGTCATCTCTTTATTAGGTTGAGCTTATCTTCATAAATAGCAATACCACTCCCTCAAACTGCACTCTCTGATAGCCCATCTGCTGATGACCACTTTTTGTCCTGCCATTTCACTTACTCCAATATGCCCAGCCAGTGACTGCCCAGCCTCTCTGATATCCCCAATCCATCACCACATGCCAATCACATAAACATCACTCTTTTCTCCTTTCTCTTCTTCTATTGTGTAAGACAAGTCAAATTTGATTAATCCAAATTACAGGCTTACTCCATGTTTATAACCATGAAACTGAGCACTTCTGGAGGAAATCAACTAACCATTCTTACTGGTTTGCTTCAAATTTGTAGACACCAATCTCACATAGGCACTAGGCACTCATGATTATGCTGAGCTACATATAAATTTTCCTTTGTTAATAGAAACTGCTTGTACTTTCCTCTGAAAAAATCAAGTTTACAACTCAATCACACTTCATGGACAAAAAGTTATCATATGTGCATATTTCATATAGAAGTGGTCCATTCAACCTTCTGGATAAACCTATATCTAGCTTTCTTCCATATCCTGACCAGTCCTCTGTCTTCCTTGCTGACTCTCCACTTTTGTCCAATTCTTAAACATTGAAGTTCCTCCAAGATTTCCTTCTCAAGTCTCTCCTCAATCTACATGCTATCCTTAGTTTTTCCATGACTCTGTGTTTTTAACATTTTATGTATTTTCTCTTTTGTTTTATGTATAAGCATGTTTTATAATGGAATTTCCAAACATAAAGGATTGATAAACTTAATTTTTTTTTTGGGGGGGGGTAATCCAGCTGCATAGTGACCAGGTGATGAATCCTGGTGCATTTATGATGGCTAGTAGCTGCCCACCAAAACGTCACCATTTTAAACCAAAGATATATCAATTCTTCTTGAAGTAACCCAAAGGTTTTTTATAAGTACAACCACAAATGATTTACCTTTTTTTTATAGCCAGTCAACCCAGTCAGTGTCAAAATCTCCTTAACTTCCATTTGGATAACTGTCTTTTTTCTTTTGTTCTATTTAAATGAGGATCCTAATAAGTTCTCAAAATTGATTTTTTGTTATTTTTTAACATTTATTTTAATGTGCAAAAGATTCCTCATTTTTTCCCCAATTCACATCTGGAAAGAACAAGTTCTATGTCTTGCAGAATTCCTAAAACCCTCTATTTGGCTACTATTAATAGCATCCAATGATGTCAATATGCTCTTAACCTCAATGATTTCTACATGCTTAATTAGAGTTAGAGATATGATGAGAATCATGTTAAATTTTAGACAGGAATATTTCATAGATGATGCCATTTATTTTCAGCTTCTGTGCATTTCAAATCAAAAGACGTATACCTATTTCATTAAGCAGTTAAAATTGACCAGGAGATACTTGCTAATCTCTATATTTAGAATGCTCTTCATAGCCACAAATGACTTCCACACATCATTTTGTTGCAGTCTCAATAGATGTTTCCTGAACCCCCAGCAAAAGCAGCAACTTCACCTACCCCTAGTCAATTCCTCTTATGACTGTAATACATTTACATAGCAATTATTACTATCTGAGACTGTCTAATAAATGGATTAGTTCAAGTATTTATTCTTTCCAACCAAAATTTATGTTTTACATACCAAAGAACTCTGTGGTTTTCATGCCTGGGACAGTTTACAGTAAGAACTCCATAATTAATTGATGACTTATTTGTAATAAAAATCCATTCAAATAACTTGCATTAAACATTTCTAATGATTAAAAAATATAGAATATCATAATTTTGATTAAAAGTAAGCAGAGGCCTATTTAGATTAAATCCAAATGAATTAAAACGGGGGTCTCAGCATTAGTTGTGATAAAACTTGAAAAAGGAGACATTTCAAAAGCAATAATAGCATAAAATGCTACCAAACAGGATTTACTTTAATCAATAGGATAAAGGAAGAACTTTGCAAAGACTAAAAGCTTCCCAAGTATATTTTGCAAGTATATTATTTTGATGATCTTATTTTACAAGTTAAATATTACATTAAATGTATCTCATCCTAGTATGAGTTTTTCATTATAATCATGCCCCAAATAAAATGTATAAAAAAACCTCTTGATCAAATATATTTTATTATAGTCTAATATATATATATATATATTTATGGTAAAAGTTACATTTATAACCTATACATTATAGTATATAGACTGCTACTTTTAATTTCTCAATGTGTAATATAAAGCCCCAATGCAGGCCTAATATTATTGATTACTTATGGCATTTAACTACCTTTTATATTTTGCCTTTTTCTAGTACCAATATCTGAAAATAGAAAAAATTACTTGTACACATTTTATATTACAGATTTAATTAACATTACAATTACCTTAAAGGCTTTTTCTTCCAGGATTGATAGATAAAAGTGACAGAACAATGTCAGGTATGTAAAACATTCAGTAAATGTGTTTCCTTCACTCTTGAATAAATACACTTAAGTTGGGGATAAGGAAGGAGAAAGAATAATTTATCTCTGAGACATATAATAATTAGGCTTTCTCCAATAGTCTGGGTTTAATTGTATGTCACATAACAAAGCTTATGTGTCTGTTCCTCAAACAGATGAACATCCTTTTTTATGTCCTTCTGCTACCGGTTCATAGCATATGAAGTTTAGCATTGGAAATGGTAGTACACTTTACTACTGACAAGTTGCTGAACATCCTTGCACTTGTGAGTAAATCCTTTAACTTATTTTAATATGAATATATGTTACAACTATCTAACCAGCCTGTAATCAAGCTCATAGCAAAATACAGACATAAAATGGAAACGACTGTAACATATACATATTACTGTTATTGATTCGTAATATTAACAAATAATTAACTAGATGTGATGGCCAGTTTTCTGATGACATGTTCTAAGTTCAATTTTGAGGCAATCTATTATACTGAAGGGCATTTTCGTTAGGTAAACTTATCTGAGTTCTGTTTATCCCTAATGATAGTGAAAGGTGTTTTTCCCATTGAAATATCTACTTTGTGTGGGCTCTGAATTATATGATGTACCCACAATAGCAATGAAAGATTAAACAAGGCATATTATGAAAGAAAATTTTTTAAATTATGTTGAAAGATTGACTAAATATTAGGGCAGTTAGTTCTACAGTTGTTGGAGATACTACATCACCAGACTGAGGAATGTGTTTCTAAGCCATTAATTGCTTCTAGGTCTGGTTGTCAGTTTCCATAGTAACCATTAAGAAGTAAAATACTTAATTTTTTATGATAATGTTTTTCACAGTTTCTTTTCTAGAATGATTCATGAGTTGATCATGTATCCATCAAGTAATTGCTGTTAGAATAAACATATCTACCAGCTCACAGCTTGGTAAGCACACCAAGGCATCCTCATGATAAAACATACTTCTTTACAATTTGAGAGCAGCAGTCAAGTTATTGATCAGACAGCCTCATGGCTGACTCAAATAATTTGTCATATTTAAATATTCTTAACTAATATAACAGCCAAGACCAAAAACAGTAGATTAATATGTAAGCAATGTTTAAGTACACAGGGCTAGTTCTGTATGTTGCAATTTGTTTAATAATGACTGTTTGGTGACCAACTATGAGTGTTTTGGTGCTATTTCTAGAAGCTTTCATGTAGTTATTATATCTAAAACAATATGCCAAGACAAATATGGATTTCTTTTATAAACACAAATATACCCAGAAGTAAAGCAAGTCTGACATCTAAAACATAACATATGGCCTCTATTTCCAACAGAGCAATAATTCACTTAAAACTGTAACCATCCTCTTTCTCAAGAACTTCGCAGTTTGTACCAAAATTCAAAACAAAACATCTTTTTCCTTAAAACATCGTTATTGTGTGATGTTAGCAACTTAAAATAAAGTTTCTTAGATGCAAAGCGAAGTCCTCCTAGGTTATTTTTCTACACCACTTTCCTCAATTAAGAAAAGGCATTTGTAGTCACTTTCAAAAGTCTCTGGCAGTACTCAGATCAGAACAGAGCCAGACAGAAAGCAGACGTTCAATAAATTCTAACAGGCATCTCAGGCTCATGAGCCTCCAAACTGCCCCCTGCCCTGAAGCTGAATTCCACCTAGACTGAGCAAAAACTTATAATCCCTGTAGGTAAGAGTCCCAGATATCTCCATTAATCTCCAGGGTGAACTCCTCACACAATTTAATTTTAACCCAGTGTAACATTCAGCCATGAAACAGAATTGTTAGGATGCAGAGATGTAGAGGTGCTGAAATTTGAGAAGAGCCATATTCATTAGAAAACAAATCATTTTCTTCATAGCTTAATGCAGGTTCCGGCGGACCTGACATAGGCATGAAACCAAAAATCCATACGGTGGTAACAAGAGTCTGCACAGTTGTACTCACCATCTGGGTGGATGTTCCTTCTCTCCAGTTGAGAGGCCTTTTCACAGGTGACTCCTGGAACTGCTTCCATGGCTTCAGCAGAACCCAGAAGTGGTGTGACAAGGAGTGGGCCCTGAAGGGAAGCCGCGCCACCAGACTGAGCTCAGCAGCAGTTCCCAACTCCTCAGCAGGGCAGTCGGCACACATGCAGCTTGTTTAATTTTCCTGTTAGAGAAATATAAGCACATGGTCATGATTGTGGTGCTTGTTTACGTTCCCCATTCCTTAGACTTGTTTTTTTTTTTTTTTTCTGAAGTGTTTTTTTTTTTTTCAAAATAACATTGCATTGAACATATAAGCTTCAGGTGTTCAAACTTGAGACTTAACATATGCACATACTACATTAAGGCCACTGTTAAAAGGGCAAATCTTTTGACTTATTTCATTTATACTGGGTAGTGTCAATTATGTGAGGAAGAGAAACAAAATAAAGGGTCTGATTAAAAAAAAAATAATAAGCCCTAGACCTGACGAACTGAAGCTACCAGAGGTGGAGGGGGAAAGGCAGGTGAGGAGGGGGTGCCATGGACTATGGTGAGGCTAAGGGAGCTATAGGGTAAGTGAAGTAATCAGGCTGTGTATGCCATTGGCCTCTGACTTTCACCTGTGGTCTTGATTGTGTTGCTGCAGAAGGTTGTTGGGAGCGTGGGCACTGGACACACATGCCTGATTGTGGCGTATGGGTGTGCACACATGTGCAAAGGTACACACCTGAGCCTAGAGCTAGGCTAAAAGCAGCAGTTACTAGAGGACAAGAAGCGTGACTACAGAAGGGGTGAGACCACTGGACAATGTGAGAGAGAGACAATGCCAGGAAGAGGTGCCAGAGGGGAAAAAAGCCATAGACTGGCTGGGGTGGGAGGCTTGCCAGCCTCCAGACCCCCGACACCCTGCCCTCACTGTACCTCGCTGCCCCACTACAGGGTCCATGGTGGAGTGTGTGGTGTGGTCAAGACATCTGAAGAGGTATGATCTTATATCTCTAAATCACAGACAGTGCTGAAACCAATGTTACCTCAGTAAAATAAATGAAAAAGAGAAAGTCTAAATCTAAGAAGCCATATCCCATCTCCCAGTTTAGCCTTCTTTCAATGTAGGCTTTTCTTGACTCCAGTTGTGCTTCTTCTGCTTTGCCAGTGAGGCCCTTTCTTTGTGCCTCAGCGAGTTCCTCCACACAACAGATTGTAGTTTTAGGATATAGGCTATTTTGTGGGGTTCAAGGTGGTGGAACATGGCCTTGTCTTTCCTTACGCTGCAGCCCTCTTACCAGGCTCGGTGCCAGGAGAGCTCACTCCTGTCTTCCACCTCTCTTGCCTTTTTGGCAGCAACCCGATTCCATCTGGTTTTCATGGCAGTAGCGGCACGAAGGGCATAGTGCAGGTTTTCTATGATTCCAGCAGACGGGTGAAGGAGGAATCCTGGAGATCTCGGTGGCTTTTGTAGGCTTTTATTGGGATCTACCAGGCACATGGCAGGGAGAGGGGCAGAGGGGCTGGGGGGCCTCCCAGCCCTAGCAAGTCTTCACTCTTTCTGGGCTCCCTGGCATACCCCGCAGCCATGTCTTCTCTGCTCCTTTCATGGTTCTGCTTCTCTGCTCTGTGGGTGTCCCTGTGACGCTCCCCTTATAAGCCCAGTCTCAGCCCAGATGAATCCCATCTACCTAGGCCCACACCCTACTCCAGGTGCCCGCCATCAGGCATGCATTCAGGACCACGAGGATCCATCATCAATCCTGATGGCGGGAGGGCAGAAGAGCCTGAAAAAATCACTTACCCTACAATGGCCTACATTAAAAAAAAAAAAAAAAAAAAGAACAAGAGAAATGAATTTTCAAGCTGCAATTGTGTGGATCCCCAAAATGCCTCTCTCCCTCTATTCTGAATTTATAAAACCAACAAAAAACAACCACAAACCCAACATAGAAGCAAGCATTAGCTTATGTGACCAGAGGGCACCAAGGTATTAATCAGGTTCACGTATATATGACCTTGTGTACCTCCGCCAGGAACCCCAGTTTCCTTGTCCAACCACCTTTGATACAGCCATTCTGTGAGTGTCCTATTCCCCACCATGAGTCCATGAGTAACTTCTAACTTTACAAATAAGAAAATAAAGTCTGCACTGTTAAATGATTTACCCAAATTCACACTATTTAAAAATGAACTGTTATGTGATAAATAAATAATTATGTTTAAGTTTGGTTTATAGAAAATATCCAAGTTGAGAATGGTGTAATAAAATTGAAATGTATTGGAATCTCTGAATCTGCCTGCACTGAGAAACACACACACACACACACACTCATATCCATACACATTTTACTTCAAAGTGCAGGCAAGAATTCCTTTTGATCAAGTCAATGGATCATGACTTTGAAAAACAGTCCATTTTCAGTGCCAAAGGGATGGGCTAGTTTCCTGGCCATGACTGACTCCTAGAAGACAGACATTAATTTATATAAGCTCTGAAACTTGAATAAATTCTACCTTATCTCTGGCAAACTTTATGAAATGTTTCTCAGGAAACTTCAGGAAGGAACGCAGAGCAGGCAGATTCAGAGATTCCAATACATTTCAATATTATTACACCATTCTCAACTTGGATATTTTCTATAAACCAAACTTAAACATAATTATATCACATAACAGTTCATTTTTAAATAGTGTGAATTTGGGTAAATTATTTAACAGTGCAGACTTTATTTTCTTATTTGTAAAATTAGAAGTTACTCATGGACTCATGGTGGGGAATAGGAAACTCACAGAATGGCTGTATCAAAGGTGGTTGGACAAGGAACCTGGGGTTCCTGGCGGAGGTACACAAGGTCATATATACGTGAACCTGATTAATACCTTGGTGCCCTCTGGTCACATAAGCTAATGCTTGCTTCTATGTTGGGTTTGTGGTTGTTTTTTGTTGGTTTTATAAATTCAGAATAGAGGGAGAGAGGCATTTTGGGGATCCACACAATTGCAGCTTGAAAATCATTTCTTTTGGGCCTCCCCGGTGGCGCAGCGGTTGAGCGCTGGGTTGCAAAGCTGCCCGCAGCCTCTGCAGCGCCGGTTCGATCCCCGGCTGCTCCCCGGCCACCAGAGGAGGGTCCCACATGGCGCGCAGACCTCTCCTGCCGCCCGCTGCTCCCCTCAGCAGTGTCCTTCGGTCCTTCTGCCTGCTCTGCTCCCCGCTCTGGCTCTGGTGAATTCTCTCACCCTCCGGTGCTTCTGACTGTACCCAGTGCTTGTATAAATAAATAAATAAATCTTTAAAAAAAAAAAAAAAGGAAAATCATTTCTTTTTCTCTTGTTCTTTTTTTTTAAATGTAGGCCATCATAGGGTGTAGGGTAAAGAAAATATCAGGCTTTTCTGCCCTTCCGCCATCAGGATAGATGATGGATCCTTGTCCTGAATGCATGCCTGACAGCGGGCACCTGGAATAGGGTGTGGGCATAGGTAGATGGGATTCAGCTGAGTTAAGACTGTGCTTTTTTTAAGGGCGGTGTCGTGGGGACGCCAGCAGCAGCAGAAGCAGCAGCAGCAGAAGTAGCAGCAGTAGAAGCCGAAGCAGAAGCCGAAAGAGAAGCCGAGAAGCAGCAGAACAAACGCTAGAGAGCCCAGATAGAGTGAAGACTTGGGGGCTGGGAGGCCTCCCAGCCCCTCAGCTAGCACCCCTGCCTGCCATATGCCTGGTGAACCCCAAATAAAAAACCTGCAAAAACTACTGAGGACTCTGACTCCTCCTTTACCCGGTCTGCATGGGATCAGAAAACCTGCACTGTGGTCCAGTTCTGCCTTTACATAGGGTAAGTGATTTTTCAGGCTCTTCTGCCCTCCCGCCATTAAGATTGATGATGGATCCTTGAGGTCCTGAGTGCATGCCTGATGGCGGGCACCTGGAATAGGGTTTGGACATAGGTAGATGGGATTCACCTGGGCTAAGACTGGGCTTTTAGGGGTGGCGTCATGAGGATGCCAGTATAAGCCAAAAGAGAAGCCAAGAAAGAAGCAGCAGAAGCCGAGAGAGAAGCAGAGCACGCCGGAGAGCCCAGAGTGAAGACTTGCTGGGGGCTGGAAGGCCTACCATCCTCCTGGCCCCCCAGCACCCTTGCCTGCTGTGTACCGGGTAAATCCCAATAAAAGACCTGCAAAAAACCACTGAAGACTCTGACTCCTCCTTTACCTGGTCTGCTGGATCAGAAAACCTGCACCGTGTCCATTCCTGACTCTACACAAGATAATACTGAACTCTGACTCACTGTATCCAAGGAGATTTAAACAAAACGATTTCTCCCAAAATGATGTCTATAATTTTCATCTGAAAGTATTGCTGCTTAGTCATACAACTTTTTTCTGAAAATCTAATTTTCAACTTTAAAGGATAAGGATTCATGCTGAGTGTTGGTATAAACTGAGGAAAGACTTGGCATGTGGAGGAGATATCGTTCAAAGCAATGGTAGCTTTACCGTAGACAGATAGGCAATTAGAACACATTTAGGCACTTAGCAGTAGGAAGGCTTTGGATGGCAGGTGAAACAATCACCAGATCAGTATGTAACAGGCAGAAGGATGTGCCCAGATTTAATATATTTAAAGACAAGTGCACTGATAAGTAACAGGTTTTAGTAGTTTGAATTGTGACTTCTGAGTGTTTATAGTTGGATCAGACAGCAGAAACCAATTGGAAAGGTAAACACAACTGGTCCTGGACCTCCTGCCATGTGGAGGAGGATTCAGTAGCTGAAAACTGTGCCCAGAGATATGGGAAAAATGGAGAAAACATCTAAAACAAAGGTAAAAGGAGAAGCCTACAAGGAACAAGCCAAGGGAAAGGACTTGGGTTTGGAATTTGAGTCCAGATCTGGCCCAGCATGTGGGCTGACTTGATGAGCCACTTCATTCGGGTCTTGTCAAATACTTAGCATTAGTATTATTAGTATTAGCAGCTAGTTAGTATTCACTACCTTTATACTTCCATCCCTGCTGCTTAAAATAGCAATGAGCTGCCTACACAAATTAAGAGTACATTTGTAAGCTATAAAGGGTTTATGTTTTCATCATAGATGTTGTTAGAATTTAAGTGATTTCAAAGGACTATATACACGTGTATGTGTGTGTATTTATATGTATATATAAATATATAATTTTAATACCCACAATTAGAGGAGCA